ATATAATCTAGCTCTGCGGACCTAGTAGGTCCATGGCTTGGTTGACTATCTTTCTCCACTTGTTTCTATCCTTTGCCTTTTCTTTCCACCTGACAATTCCCAGTTGTTGTAAGTCTCTCTCCACCTCAGTTTTCCATCTTGTTTTCGGTCTTCCTCTCCTCTTCTTACCGCCAATTGTTCGTTCCATTACCATTTTTGGTATCCTTGTCCCTGGCATTCTTTCAATATGTCCCATCCATCTTAATCTTTGTGCTTTTATCACACTTACTATACTTGCCTCCTTATATAAGCTTTTTATTTCCTCATTTGTTCTTCGAAACCACCCTTCTTCTGTTCTTTTCCCTCCAAAAATTTTCCTCAATATTTTCCTCTCCCAAACTTCCAATCTTGTCTGTTCTGCTTTATTCAACGTCCACGTTTCACTGGCGTATGTAATTACTGGTCTTGTCACTGTCTTGTACAGCCTTATCTTTGTTTGTCTAGAAACGTTTTTGTTTCTCAGTATTCTCTGCAACCCCGCTATACTTTTGTTTCCTAACATTATTCTGGCTTCGATTTCTTCCTCTATTTTCTTTCTTCTTCTAAATAATGTTCCTAAATATGTGAAATGTTCAACTTCCTCAAATCTGTACGTTTTCCCTCTGTTTGTATCTACTTTCAGAAACTTGTCTTTTTGATATTCTTCTTCCGACCATTTCATGTATTTAGTTTTTGTCTCATTAATATATAGTCCCCTTTTAACTGACTGCTCATCTATTCTCCTTATTACCTCTTTTAGTTCTGCTTTATTTCTTGCTAACACTAGAAGATCATCCGCAAATGCCAAACACTGATGTCTTTTATAGTAAATAAGGCCTGATTTTCCTGCATCTCTTATGACTTTTTCTAGCACTAAACTAAATAACACTACTGATAATGGATCCCCTTGTCTGACGCCGTTTTTAACTTCGAACTCTTCCGTGTATCTATTGTTTACTTTTACTTTATTCTCTGTCTTTTTCAATGTTAGGCGTACCAAGTTCCTTATCTTCTTGCTGATTTCTAATTCCTCTAAGACCTTATATAGCTCACTTCTTTTTGTTTTGTCATAAGCTTGTTGGTAATCTACAAACAGAACTACTGTTGGCTTATCGTATTCGAAGCTCTCAGCCTGAATTTCTCGCAGAGTGAAAACTTGGTCTACTGTACTTCTTCCTTGTCTAAACCCGCATTGATATTCACCAATTTTATCCTCCGCTTCCTTTACCAACTTGTTTTTTATACAAGTGGCCAGTATTTTATATGCTACATTCAGCAATGCTATTTTCTCTGTAGTTTTGGCCTTCCCCTCTATCCCCTTTTTTATGGATATGGCAAATTTCTGCTTCCGTCCATTCCTTTGGCAGTTCTTCCTTTACCCAACATCTTTCTAGTAGTTTCTGTAATTGGTCTGCTAGTTCATGTCCTCCATATTTAAATAGTTCGGCTGTTAATTTGTCACTTCCTGGACTCTTATTATTTTTCAATTTTGACAGTATCTCTTTAATTTCCTCTTTACTTGGCGCTGGCACCATATTGTCTCCTTCTATGTTGCTATTATTTTCTTCTCTTTCCGTATCATCGGTTTCATCTCCATTTAATAATTCTTCAAAATATTCTTTCCACCTGTTTAATATTTCGTTGTCTCCTGCCACTATCTTCCCATTCTTATCCTTATAAAATACTGGTCTTGGTTGATACCCCCTTTTCTCATTCTTCACTCCTTGGTATAAATTCCTAATATTGTTATTTCTTAAGTTTTCTTCTATTTGTTCTAATACCGTTTCATAATTTTTCCTTTTCTTATTTCTTAGCACCTTTTTAGTTTTCCTTCTTTGCTCTTCATATTTATTCTTTGCTTCCTCCGTTCCTTCCTGTAGCATCTTTTGTCTCAATTTTCTTCTAATTTCTAGCTCCTCCTTACACTCATTATCAAACCATTTTTTTTTCCTGTTTCCTCACTTTTTTCCTGTATTTTCCACCTGCTCTTACTATTTTTGTTTTTAGTCCTGCCCACATTTCTTCTAAAGTTGTCGTTTCATTAGTATTATTACTGCTACTTAATTCTCTACTTAGATTGCTTTCATATTCTATTTTTTCCTCTCTGGTTCCTGGCCTAGCAACTACTCTATTTCTTATTTTTTTCCCTCCTCTGGTTTCTAGTTTCTGGTATCTGTTGATCTAGTTTTGCTCCTACCATGAAGTGATCCGTAACTGCGTCTAAACCTCTATAAGTCCTTATATTTTTAATGCATTTTACCTCCGGCTTTTCTATTGCAATGTGGTCTATCTGATTTATTGTTTTCCCATCCGGTGATCTCCATGTTCCCTTGTATATTTCTTTCCTTTGGAAGTATGTACTTTTTATAACTTGGTTGGTTACTTCGTGTTTGCTATGATCTCCTATTGTGGGTTTATACATTTCCTCCCTACCTATTTCTGCGTTTGCATCCCCCAATAAAATTTTCATATCATACTTTGGAATCTCTTCGTATAATCTATCCAATTCGTTATAGAATTCTTCCTTGCTCCCTAAATCCGCTTCTTCGTGTGGTGCATGTATGTTCAAAAAAGTTATTTTTTGATACTTTTCTCTAAGCCTTAAAAGGCATATCCTATTTGAAACTAATTTATACTGTACTACTAACTCTTTTAGTTCCTTCCTTACTAGGAACCCTATGCCCAGTAGTCTATCCTTTCCCCCGCTATTTATAAATATATAGCCCCCTATTTCCATTACCAGTTCCCCTAATTGTTTCGTTTCTTGTAGTGCAACTGCGTCAAAATTACCCTTTTTTAATTCATTTACAATATGCTTTAATTTTCCCTCCTCAAAAGTTCCTCTCACGTTCCAGGTTCCAATTTTCATTTCTTTGTTTATCTCACTATTAATTATCCTATTTTTCTTATTTATTTCATTTCTATTTATTTATTTTTTAAGTTTTATGAGAAACGTCTTCCTAAAGTTTATCGACAGAATCCAGAAGCACCCTTCCGAAAAATCAATTTTGCCATGAAACTATAAGAGTTAGCAAAAAAAGTGAATGTACACTTTCTGTCAATAACAAACTGTTCTATCTAAAAACAGCATCATTTTTTATATTCAGTAGGGCCGTATTAATTATTTTTTTATAATTTAATGAGTCTGAGTCCTCATAACTCCGCCGCTGATTGTTTGCGGGACTTCTACTTGTATGGAAAAATTGTATCTTATAAGAAGATGTGTCATGCCAAATTTGGCTTAAATAGCCTTCTTCATTTAGAAGATATTTAAAAAATTCGATTTTTTTTAAAAATCTTTAACGCCCTATATTTCGAAAATGAAGCGTCTCTGGAAAAAAATNATTCTTCACTCCTTGGTATAAATTCCTAATGTTATTTCTTAAGTATTCTTCTATTCGTTCTAATACCGTTTCATAATTTTTCCTCTTCTTATTTCTTAGCACCTTTTTAGTTTTCCTTCTTTGCTCTTCATATTTATTCTTTGCTTCCTCCGTTCCTTCCTGTAGCATCTTTTGTCTCAATTTTCTTCTAATTTCTAGCTCCTCCTTACACTCATTATCAAACCATTTTTTTTTCCTGTTTCCTCACTTTTTTTCTGTATTTTCCACCTGCTCTTACTATTTTTGTTTTTAGTCCTGCCCACATTTCTTCTATAGTTGTCGTTTCATTAGTATTATTACTGCTACTTAATTCTCTACTTAGATTGCTTTCATATTCTATTTTTTCCTCTCTGGTTCCTGGCCTAACAACTACTCTATTTCTTATTTTTTCCCTCCTCTGGTTTCTAGTTTCTGGTATCTGTTGATCTAGTTTTGCTCCTACCATGAAGTGATCCGTATCTGCGTCTAAACCTCTATAAGTCCTTATATTTTTAATGCATTTTACCTCCGGCTTTTCTATTGCAATGTGGTCTATCTGATTTATTGTTTTCCCATCTGGTGATCTCCATGTTCCTTTGTATATTTCTTTCCTTTGGAAGTATGTACTTTTTATAATCAGGTTCTTTTCCTTTGCAAAATCAATTAAGAATTTTCCATTTTCATTGGTTACTTCGTGTTTGCTATGATCTCCTATTGTGGGTTTATACATTTCCTCCCTACCTATTTTTGCATTTGCATCCCCCAACAAAATTTTCATATCATACTTTGGAATCTCTTCGTATAATCTATCCAATTCGTTATAGAATTCTTCCTTGCTCCCTAGATCCGCTTCTTCGTGTGGTGCATGTATGTTCAAAAAAGTTATTTTTTGATACTTTCCTCTAAGCCTTAAAAGGCATATCCTATTTGAAACTAATTTATACTGTACTACTAACTCTTTTAGTTCCTTCCTTACTAGGAACCCTGTGCCCAGTAGTCTATCCTTTCCCCCGCTATTTATAAATATATAGCCCCCTATTTCCATTACCAGTTCCCCTAATTGTTTCGTTTCTTGTAGTGCAACTGCGTCAAAATTACCCTTTTTTAATTCATTTACAATATGCTTTAATTTTCCCTCCTCAAAAGTTCCTCTCACGTTCCAGGTTCCAATTTTCATTTCTTTGTTTATCTCACTATTAATTATCCTATTTTTCTTATTTATTTTTATTTACCCCTATTCGTAGTCCTTTCCGTTGCCTGTTCTTTGTTATAGTTAGCGTTTTTCCTTTTTTTTGTCTAGTTTTTTGTCTCCTGTATCTTTTTCTGGAGCAGTTTTTTCGTCTTATCCCATTTCCATCTTTTGCCATTAATTCTTAAATTTTGGTATCCAATTGTCACTTTGTTTCCTTTATCTTTTTCTTGCTTAGCTTTTTCCCTTATAATCCTTTGTATTCTTCTCTCCTCCTTCGTTGTCGCTGTTTATATATATTTTTTCACGTTTTAGATACTCCACCTTGCCTTTCGTTTTCATGATTTTCATTTTTTTTTTCAAAGCTGTCCAGTTCCACCACAAATATTGTTTCATTCACCTTCTGTACGGCTATGATTTCTGTTTCTATGTCCAAACATTCCTTGAAAAAATGCCTAAAGTGCTTATTCAACCCCTCTTTATCCTCCTCCTTTAATCTCATTCCCGTTATCACCAAATTGTTCTTTATTCGATCCTTTTCTAATCTTTCTACTGTTTTTTCTATGGTTTCTAACTGGTCTACTATCTTCTTCAATCCTTCTATTTCCATCTTCATTCTTTCATTTTCTAGCTTCATCTCCTTCATTTCTTCATGGTATTCATGATTTTCTTTTCCCATTTCTTTAATTTCGTTCATCATAACATCAAACATCTCCTTGATTTCTTCCATATTACCACTTTGCTGATCTTTGCTTGTAGTGCTTTTTGCCTGTGATCTTATTATCAACTTACTTTTTTTAAATATATCTTTATCCATCGATTCTCTCGAAGGAAACTTAACTCTCCTCTTACTGACATACGTGTTCCGTCTGCACTAGTTACCTCTGTACCGTATATAGTGTTGCCTATCCAGGTATCAATTTCTGCTCTTGTATTTCCTTTGCTTTACTAACCGCATTACATGTTGCCTACCTCAGCGGCGTCAGGTAACCTATTCCGAGTCAACCTCTCGAAAAATATGGCACCTACCAGCTGATTGGAATCCTATTTCCCTTTCTTATCTTTGTATCCTCTTACCCTTGCTTTTTCTTTGTGGATTTTACACTTCCGTATGCGCTTTCATCCAATTCTGTTTCTTTTCTACCCTTTTATATATTTTTCTTGCTCGACCCGCACGCGAGTTAAGTTTCGGAGCACGATCTACACCACGTACGCACACTTAGTCAACTCATCATAGACCTTATAAACTACTGGACTTGCCCAACTGTCTTTTTACCTATATAAACGGCAATCGCTCAGACGTGGGCGAGAGAGATGAAGCTAGTAAGGGCTTAAGCTTCGTTCACAGAATTTCGACTGCAACGCGCTTCATTTAATTCAATCAATCCGCCAACTCGATTTCTTACCTTTTTTTTCTGTTGGGCCGTATTCAAAGACTATAAAAATAATATAGAGACTTAGACAAAAATTTTTCATTTTTCCCAGTAGTGTAGGTATGTAAAAGGGTTTATTATATTACTGTCCTAATTACAGTACAATATTTGAATTGTTTTAGCTATAATATTCCAAATAGTTTTTATATTGCCTTCTTTATGTATTTCTCCATTTATTTTCCTCATATCGTAAACTCGATTGGTTAACATTAACTCTTCTGACGTAGTTGTTTCAAATATTTCATATTTTCTTGCTTTGCAGAACCGCATAAATTGAAACTATGTCGCGTCATTATTCCATGGCTAGAAATTGGCCTCAATGATTTGAGGTCGAGGAGGATTATCCCTCTTTATCCTGCCTCATTTCATGTAGGCCTGGACAGCCTTCGTAGGTGGGCCCCATCCGCCGCGCGCGCCATTATTCCATGGCTAGAAATTGGCCTCAATGATTTGGGATCGAGGGGGATTATCCCTCTTTATCCTGCCTCATCTCGTGTAGGCCTGGACAGCCTTCGTAGGTGGGCCCCATCCGTCGTCTACCCCGACCGCAAATGCGGCCGGTGTAGGCGCTTTGTGGGACCTTTTTTTCCTGGCTGGGCCCCGCCGGCTAGGGCCCTTTCTTCTGGCGCTCTTCTTGCTTCGCCGGCTCGTCTGTGTAAACCCCGGGGGTAGTGTCATGTTTATGTGTGGTATGGTTGGGTAGGGTAGTGCGGCTATGCAGCCTGGGATGCGCTTTGCTAAGGTGGCCCTTAGGCTAGCGCGGGAGGGGAGGGTAAGGAGGGTATGGGGGTGTTATGTGTGTGTGTGTGTCGTTGTCTTCGTTTCTTGATCCTGGCTGTCTCTGAAACAGAAAAGGTTAGCGGGCAGGGGGGGGGTCATTGGGGTGGTCACCCAGGGTCAAAAAGTTGGTGTCTAGGTCTTTTGTGTTTGTCGGTCACGTCGGGTACGTAGTCAACGGCTTGCCTGAGGAGGGGATTGTCATGTCTAGCGGCTACGTCAAACCGTTTCTCCGCGTTTTGTCTTATTGTCTGTGTAGCGTTTGTGTATTGTAAGTCTCGTAATATGTCAGTGTTTCTTACGTACCAGGGCGCGACGGTGGCCGTGCGGAGGGCTATGTTTTCCACAGCCTGTAATGACTTTAAGTGGCTTTTTTCCGCGTGACCCCACGCCGTGGAGGCGTAGGTTAGCTGCGGTTGAAGTACCACCTTGATAAGCGTTCGCTTATTCCTTAAACTGAGGGTGTTTGCTGTTTTCCAGCGGGTAGGGAAGTGTCTTAGTCTGAGTGTCGCGTTTGTTATGTTATGTCACGTATTAAGTTTTTTATGTCATTGGGGAGGGTGCCCCGGGCNGTACAATATTTGAATTGTTTTAGCTATAATATTCCAAATAGTTTTTATATTGCCTTCTTTATGTATTTCTCCATTTATTTTCCTCATATCGTAAACTCGATTGGTTAACATTAACTCTTCTGACGTAGTTGTTTCAAATATTTCATATTTTCTTGCTTTGCAGAACCGCATAAATTGAAACTATGTCGCGTCATTATTCCATGGCTAGAAATTGGCCTCAATGATTTGAGGTCGAGGAGGATTATCCCTCTTTATCCTGCCTCATTTCATGTAGGCCTGGACAGCCTTCGTAGGTGGGCCCCATCCGCCGCGCGCGCCATTATTCCATGGCTAGAAATTGGCCTCAATGATTTGGGATCGAGGGGGATTATCCCTCTTTATCCTGCCTCATCTCGTGTAGGCCTGGACAGCCTTCGTAGGTGGGCCCCATCCGTCGTCTACCCCGACCGCAAATGCGGCCGGTGTAGGCGCTTTGTGGGACCTCCTTTTGTCCTGGCTGGGCCCCGCCGGCTAGGGCCCTTTCTTCTGGCGCTCTTCTTGCTTCGCCGGCTCGTCTGTGTAAACCCCGGGGGTAGTGTCATGTTTATG